ACAGCCTCTGTGGAGGGCGAGGCCAGAGGGGGCAGCAGCAGCCTCTGCCATGGGGCGAGAATGGGAGAGGACGTGCCTTGTCCCCTCCCTCAGGGCTGTGACACCACCTGCCTCTGTCCCTTGCTCGGAGGGGCTCTGAGGTCTGAGCTGCACGGAGCTGAGGCCAGGATGTCCCTCACCAAACCTGGGTGGGTCAGGCCGGACGCTGTCCCGGACCCTTCCTCTTCCCTTCGCACAGTGCCACCCACAGGCACAGCCCGGCCAGGGCCGTCTTGGGGGCCTTCTCGTCCTGTCACAGCGCCAGCCAAAGCCAGACCCTAACGCTGTCCAGCTTCCTGGTTAGGTCATTCTCCGTCCAACAGAAATGCATTCAGTGTCTGCTTCAAAAACATTTTAACAAGTAAAACAGAATATTGACCTTTTTAGTGTAAACGGGAACAACCACATGGAAATCAGTATGAGAGTCCTCAAAACACTAAAACTAAAAATTCCATTTGGTCCATCTATTCCCCTTCTGGGTATTTTCCTAAAAATTTTAAAGACATTGTATTACAGTGATCCATGCATATCGGTATTTCTAGCAGCACAACTCATAATAGCTGCATCTTGGAAGCAGCCTATTTGTCCATCAACAGATGAGTAAAGAAAATGTGCTATTTCTACACAATGGAGCGCTGCTCTGCCATAAAGAAGGATAAACTTGAGTCATCTGTAGGAAAATGGATGCTCCCTGAGAATACAATGCTAAGAGAAATCAAATATGAGCTTAAATAGCATGGTTTCTCTTATATGAGAAACCCAATATATAAAGTACAAAATAAAAGACAACTGGAAACAAAAAGGAAAAAATATCCAGCATAGCCAATGTATCAAAGTGTACCTTGATTTAGTAAAATTGTCTTATGTGTTTTATATGTTTTTTGGCCTATTCAGTTGTTAATCTGTGTCTATGATAATTAACTTGAAGAGGATTTATAAAATAAATGAATCATGCTAGCAAAAAAACATTTTAAGGGGGGTGGAGGGGAAGGGGAAAAAAGAATTGGTTTTGTACATATACCAATTCTCCACAGTGAATGCAATCATTATGTACTTCAAATATGCACTCATAAATATAAAAAATGAAAACACTGGCTGTCTTTACCCTAGGAGTGCAACTTGGTGAGTTTTAGTGCATGCACAGTATGGTACCAGCATGGGCCCCATGAAGTTCCAGAACATTCTGCTCACCCAAACAAGAATCCCCATGTCCCCGCCCTGCCCTCAGCCCCGCAGCCCTTACTCTGCCCCTCTCTGTGGACTTGCCCGTGCCGGCTCTTTCCTGGAAGGGGGACCACGGAGCTGAGGGGCACCTCTAATGTCTCTCAGAGTGTGACCCCCTCCTGGCTTGTCTGCTGGGGCGAGGGTTGGGGCCTCAGTGCTTTCTGAGCAGGGGGACAGCCTGCTCCATGGACAGACCACAGTCTCTCTGCCGATGGACCCCTGGGTTTTGCACACAGTGCCTTCCTGTACAGCCGTGCTAAAGTGCCACCGACTTCTCAGCAGCCACAGGGACATTTACTTGGAGACTTGGCCACTGTGGTCCTAGCCCCGCCTGGAGCGGGAGAGAGTTGGGGTGTGGGGGTGTCTGGGCTGCCTCCGCCCCCCGGGGCTCCCCGCCTTGCCCCCTGTCCCTCAGCTGGTGCCCATGTCCTCCATCATCAGCTGGCCACCACCTCTCCGCTGTCCCCCAGGGACTCCATGATTGGAATCCAAGATGGCTTCACCAGGAGACCTTGCTCCAAATGCAGCAGGTCCCTGTGTCCAGGGTTAGGACAGGACACGTCTTCTTGGGGCGGGGTGCTGACATTGCTCAGCCGAATCCTGTCTGCCTGGAACCGAGCCACACCTGGACGTGCTGTAGCCTGTCTCAGTAGCAGGCCAGACCCAGGGCAGGACACAGCCCATGGCATTCACAGCTCTGTCTGCACATGCGGGGTCTTTGAAAATATTTGTTGGGTGAATGGATCCGTTTTACCTCCTTTGTGCTGATTTCTGCATCTATACCATGACTGTATTACTCCCTGGGTGCACTGCTATTGACAAACAGAAGGGCGGGTTTATGGAGCTGTCATAATTTCACACCAATTCCTAAACATTTACAAGTGTCTAGGCTCCACCCCTACCCCCCCCCGAAAAGGAGGCCTTTGGTGCCAGACTTCCCAGGGGGTTTATCGCCAAGCGCACTTCGGGAGCCTGGGAGACCGAGTGCATCGTCGGAGGTAATTTGTGGGTGATGACATGGGAGTGAAAGGGAGGCGGCCTGCAGGACCACATTCATTTCTCCAGGTGCCCAGAGCACACATTTCCAGAAAGGCCAGATGCTTCTGGCCAGGCCCCGCCCTCGCTCTCCTTCCTGGCCCACGTGTCAAAGTCACCTTCAGTGAGAGCAGGGTTCCCAGCCAGCCGGCCCGCTGTGAGGCTCCTGAGACTAGGATCCCGAATTCTCCAGGCTGAAGGTGGAAGAAAAATCTTGAAGTCAGTGATGATGACGGTGGAATCCAAGAGACAAGGGTGTAGGTGAGCCCGTTGCCACCCCTGGCCAACCCACCGGCCGGCTGGCCTTGTTCCAGGACCTACACCTGCCGACTCAGGGTGGAGGATGAATGACAGCTTAACATGCAGGGGGCTGTCACCTCGACCAGGCAGAGGGACCCCTGGCTTCTGGCTCTCCTAGTCTTTATTCACACAAAAGCAGGCGTGCACAATTAAAGTAACACAACTCATCCTGCTCCCCAATATCCATGAGCACAAACAACTTAACCTCAGCTGTCTTAACTTTTCCCTACTATGAAAATCCAATTACCCCGGAGTTCAGCCTTTCTCCTTTATATTCACAGAGGAGGCCAATTAGGCCATAATTCTCCTCTGGTCTCCCACACAAGGACACTAAAATCAAGTGTAAATGGCAGGTATAACTGGGAGTGTCCAGGATCAACATGCCCCAAAATCAAAGAGGAAAGCAGATAGAACAGAGCTTGCCTCAAAGGCATAGAAAAAAAGATGAGTTGAGAGAAACCATGCAGATATAGTAACTGAGAGGTGTAACACACGAAGAAACATTCTAGACACAGGGAAAAGTGGACAGAAAGAGACTTCCTGTGTTAGAGCCAGCAGTCACAAACAAATCAGTGTTTGATGTGTCACAAAGCATACGAGTAACAGAAAGTTACAACAGACGATTTGTTTGCAAGGAACACACCAGCTTTTCTAGTGCCGCTGAAATACAGAAACACCGTACAAGCTCGTCATAGAGGCTCAATATACTAAGAAATCTCAGCAGCCCTGTGTACCCGCTACATTTTCTAAGCACCATGCAAAACAAAACTTCAAACAAGTTTTCTCCTAAAGCGGCCCATGCAGAAGCTTCCGGTCCCAAGGCTGGTCCCTAACTGCTCTCTGTGGACCACTTCTGTTTGTTTTCCACCCTACAGGATGGGCGTTGCACCTTTCTCTGAATGCTCTGGCGTCCTCAGATGGGTCACGAGTTCCAGCTGTGACACCTGTGGCTGGTGCAAGGCCTGTGGGGATGGGATTTGACACGGTGCCCTTCTTCCCTGAATCCAACCCTAGCTCGGGAGGGCAGGACGCCATTGGAAAGGACTGAGAGAGAAGGGAGTGGAGGGTCCGGGCGTTCTTTATGTTACTGCTGGGACCTGCGGAGGTCTTTCCAGGCCACACAGCCCCAGCACGGATCACTGGGCCCTCGCCATCCAAGCACTAGCTCAGCCTCCAAGTGCTTGGTGCCCAGTGGCTCCCGTGCCCTCCTGCTCCCTCTGATGCTCCCGGCCACATTCACAGCCCTCTCTGGGGTCGGCCCTCAGGCCTGGCATGGAAGCGACTTCCCCCTGGGGTCAGGGCCCAGCCCTTTCTCCTATCCCTACACCTCGTTCATCTCAAGTCTGTTTCTCCATCCTGCCCTGTGCTGGACCTGACAGGTGACACAGCATGGTGCAGGGCCTTCTAGGGCAGCGACGGCAAACCTTTTAGAGCTTTCAATTATACAAACGGCCGGCTGGGGCACTGGTGTCGTAGGTTCACCATGACTGCTCTAAGGGGAGGTGCAGGGAAGACCCGGAGGGCTGAAGAAATGCCCACGGGTTGGGTGGGGCGAGGCCGCCAGCCCTTGGGGAGCAGCTCGGGGACGGGACGCATCCACCTGCCCTCCCTGGGGTGGTAAGTCCCTTCCCTGAGTAGCCCAGGGAGCCCAGGGCGGGGAGGGGCGCTGCCTTCCTCCTCCTGAGTGGTGTCCTTGCCATGAATTCCGGTTCCACCTGACACCCAAGCCCTTCTGCCTGCCAGGGCACCCATATAGCTGCTGCAATCCGTCCACACCTCAGTTCACACTCAGGCTCTGAGCAGAAGGCCAGCGTGGGATGATGCTGATGGGAATTTAGGCTCAGAAAACCTGAGAAGCAGGTGAAGACCCCGCCACTCGTGAGCACGGGGACAGGACAGGGGCCTGAGGTGGCCTAGGGACCTAGACTCTTTGCTGTCTCCGGCTTCATTCGCAGGCCAAGGGGAGGTCTCAGTCCCTGCTTAGAGCCACCCACAGCAGGCTCAGCCCACAGGCTAGTGTGGACCTCAGTCCGGGAGCCCCGGCCTGGTGAAATCCGGACTTGCAGAGCTCCCACACCCTACCGCTCAGGCAGGAGGGTGTGGAAGCATTTTAACCACCGTCGACTCCGCCTCCTCTGCCCGGCAGGTGATTCCTAGGACCTGAGAGTTCGGGAAACAGTCTAAGCTTTGAGACTGCGCTCGCTCCAGGAGCCTCCCTGGGCCACCGCAGAGGTCCCCAAAGGCTCCGGGTCCCCCCAAAGCTGGCCGGATAGGGTGGGGCCAGGTGCAAACAGCACCACCCCCACGCACGCCCTGCTCTGAGGCGGGGCCTCACCTGTGGCAGGCAGGTAGGCGGCCACCCAGTCACCTGGAGGCTTGGGAGCGCACTGCCAGCTGCGGCCTCAATAGGGGCCGGGAGATCACACGGGGCTGCCGCCGGCAGGACAAAAGTTCACGGGGAGCCCTCGCCCCCTCACCATGGGCGAGAGACGCTTTGGCTTCCTACAGAAACTCGCCTTCCTGGGCCGGGGCCACCAGTACCAGGTGCTGCAGAGGGACGAGGAGGAAACTTTGGTGAGTGTGGGCGACCTAGAGCGGGGCGTGCGCCTGACCCCACTTCTACCCCAGGACCCCGCCTGGGCGCTGCGCTGGGTGCCCTCGGGCCCTCCTCCCCAAAGCCCACTTGTGGACACACAGATCTCCTTTCTACTGCTTTTGGAGCTCCCCTCTGAACCCTCACCCTGCAGCCCATCCTGTAGACCAGAACCCAAGGTCCAGAGGGCCCACCTAGTTCCTTAAGGGGCTCAAAGCTTCCAAGGGCCCTAACCTAGCCAGGAAGTGAAGGGAAGTCTCTCCCCAACTCCAAAGCATTTACATCCCCACCTCTTCAATCCACCTGCTCTACGGAGTTTTACAAGCAACTGGAATAGGGGTGGGAGGGGAATTTAAACAAAGCGCAAGTGTTTAGCGATAGCAGTGGAAATGAAAGTGACCGAGGGAGCGGATCCTCTGGCCCGGCTTCCTGTCAGCAGGGCAGTTGTGAACCACTCCAGGCTGCATGTTGACTTGAAAGCTCCCGGGGACCCTCTCGGACCAGCCAACAGGATTCCAGGGCCCAGAATTTCTCAGGGCCCCGTGGACAGAGCTGTTGAAAGCCAGTCCTGTGACTGATGCTGGCGGCTGGGGCGGGGTGCTGCCGGGGAAAGGGGAGGTGACCCTGACAGAACACCCCACATGACTAAAGGCAAGCTCCAGGTGGGCACAGTGCCTGACTGCCACTCCTGACGGCCCCTGGGCCCATCACAGAGCCAGGACCCTGCAGCAGCCTTTTCCCAGTGAAGGGAAACCTCGAGGTTGAGACTGCTAATAGTCAAAGCGTTTTGATTGTGTGATTTTGTGTGTGTGTGTGTGTGTGGTACAAGGGATTGAACTCAGGTCCTTGCGCTTTCGAGGCAGGCACCGGAACCACTGAGCTAAATCCCCGGCCTTGATTGTGTGATTCTTAAAAACACGTGTGCGTTGAAAGAGTGTTTTGTGAGTGGGTGTCAGTGTGAGAGTGCTGGCGCTAGGGGAGTGCACTGAGGCACTGTGGACCAGCCACCTTCGAAATACTTCTGTCCTGGGGGTGTGACGTGGGCTGGCCAGCACCGCTCACCTTTCCTCTCATATTTTTGCTATGATCTTTTTTCTTTCCGGGCTTTGACTTTTGCACCAGGCTGGTATTTTTCAAGCACTGCTGAGGGTCAGTGGTGATCAGGCTTTCTAGGGTGCTCGGGTGGGAGGGCCAGCATTCGCCGAGGGAGGGGCTGGGCGTCCTGTGCCAGGTGCACTGTGCGTCCTGTGCCAGGTGCGCTGTGCTGATGGCCCTCGCACCTGGCCGTGAACCCAGCTGTTCTCACAGCACCCTGGAGGCTGAGTGCCCCTCAGGGCGTGGGACGCCTGAGCATGAGGACTCCCCCGGAAGGTTCTGGTTCCCAGAGGTGTGGAGGCCCTGGGAGAGACAGGTGCTGTCTGCGAGGCGGCCATGCACAGGCAGGGAGCTACAGCACAGCTGAGTGCAGAGAGCAGGAAACAACTGAGGCCTGGCCCAGCCCCTCTCTCCTTTGGTCGGCTCCTCCCAGGGCCCTCCTGAGCTCTGACTTGCGTCCTCTGACTTGAACTCTTTCTCTCCAGAAAGTTTGGAAAGGGAGTGATGTTTGCTGAGGTGGTTACTTCTGACAGAGTCACTGTCACTCCCTTTTATGAGCGTGAAGTGTGCGCCCGTCCCGGATCCTGGGGGGCCCCTGCGTTGCCAGGTGAACCAGGCGACACCCAGGAAGGCTCCCCAAGTGCTGTGGGGAATCGAAGTGAACCTGGCTGCAGCCCTGGGTCAGAGGGCACTGAGGCTCCTGGTGGGCCTGGTCCGCCCTCCCGAGCACTGGCTGCAGTGGGGGCACCCAGGACGCGGGTGCCCACACAGCAGGGCCAGCGGTCCACAGAGAAACCAAGGGGTGTTTGGCTTGCGAGCCAGTGGCCTTAGGTGTGAGTTGGAATAAAGGAGCAGAGCCGATGGGAACCTGAGGCAGAGCTGGGAAGGCGTGGGAGGCCCGACTTAGGCAGCGTCCTCAGACCCTGAGGAGAGGTCTGAGGCTGCTTTTTGGGGCGATGAGAGGCAGGCTGTTCGAGAGCCCCTAGGTTTCACTGCTGGATAAAGCCTCTCTCTCCAACTGAACATCAAGGGGAGGAGACACTGGACCAGAAAGCCCTGCTTCCCATGGCTCAGCACCCACCAGGGAGGCCTCCTCCCCGAGGGGCACCCACCTCTCCCCCAGGTTCAGCCCCTGGATGTGAGTCTGTGGCCCTCTGGCCTGGGTTCCAGGGGACACCCCCATGAGGAGCAGCCCTGCGTGCAGGGGCGTCCCAGGAGGTAGAGGGGGCGCTGAGCTGCAGGCTTCACTGACTCCCTAGTGAGCCGCATGTAGGCGCTGCAGGGAGAAGTGGAGCCTGAGACGGACGGGACTGGAAAGATGTGTGAGGAATCGGGTGGGCAGAGGTGTGAGGCGCAGGGTCGGCAGGAGAGGGGCCCGCAGAAGAGGTCAGGAGGTGAGCAAGGGGACCTCGGGGTTTGCAGTCGTGACAGGACGGTCATTCTCAGTCACAAATGCAGCAGACGTCAGGGCCACGGTCGGGCAAGCATCACGGTCAGATATGTGTTTTCAAGAGGTCACACTTAGCTCTGGGAAGAGGGTGTTAGAGACAGGGTTCTGGGTTTAGACGCACGCGTGCTTGGCCTGAGGCGGCCCACACTCAGATCCTTTATCAGAGTTTCCCAAAATTTAGCAACTGCAGAGATGGCCTGCCATCACCCAGCACTGCCTTAAAGGACTTGTAGGAAAGTGACTTCAGTAAGTATAAAACTTGCAAGAAAACAGCTGTGTGCTTACAACAACTATACACATTAAGTTTTTACTAAAATTATACTGGGTTCGCTGCAAGTTGAAGGCCAGCCTGAGCTACAGTGAGTTCAAAGACAGTCTGAACTACATAATGGGGCCTTGTCTCAAAAAGAAAAAAAATATATATATATATATGTGTGTGTGTGTGTGTGTGTGTATAATAATATATGAAGTACGAAGGTAGCAACATTATTCTGGTGTGACTCATGATGTTCTATGAAAGCTCGACCAGTGACATGAATGCTTAGCTTGGTTACCTGTTTCTGGATAGCAGATTGCTCCACACTGTGAGTTTTTCATAACAAATGGATATCAGCCGGTAGTCTCTGTGGGTCTGAAGCCTGGCTCAGGGTCTCGGGAGGCTCAGTCCATGGAGCTGGGGGGTCTGTCCTGCCGGGGGCCTGTTTGCAGGCCTATTTGCAGGACGGTTCCCCAGCTCTGTGGGTCTCTGCCCAGGGCTGCATCGGGAGCCGGTGGCTGGGTCCCCGAGGTAGACAAGCAGGTACCCCGAGAAAGACTGGAAGCCACGGCCTCCAGAGTCTCATCACACGGTCCCCCAGGGGTGGACTGGGGCTGTCTTGGAGCCGCGCCACAGTGACAGAGATACTTCTTCAAATGACATCAGTCACATTAAAAAGCCCACAGTTACCCCCGATACATAATCTGTTTTTGTTAGCGTTTCCGTTGGACTGTTGTTTGGATGTTTTGAGTTTTGATTTTTTTTTTTTTTTACATCTATGTCAAGTGGAAACAAAGGTGGAAAATTCATGTACACACAAATGGAATTTTTTTTTAAACCATGAAGATATGACGACTGTAGGTTAGTGGGTCTATAGACAATATTTTTCCATAAAATTCATTTTTATGATTATTGTAATATACATATCTCCCAACACATTCCACAAAAGAAGGACGAAGACACTATAGTGTACTTTCAAATTACTTCAAATGCTGCTTTCCAGACTGAGAACAGCTTTGGTATTTTCAGACACTATGTATAATTAGTGGGCTGACAAGTCTCTTTTTTTGAGAGAGAGAAGGTCTCACTGTTTAGTTCAGGCTGGCCTTGAGCTAACTATGTAGCTAAGACTGGCCTTAAACTGGTGGTGATCCTCCTGCCTCAGCTTCCCAAGCACCAGCATTATAGGTGTGCACCGCCATACCTGACAGCAAGTCTTATTTTTTGTGGTACCGGGGACTGAACTCGGGTCCTTGAGCTTGTGAGGCAGGCACCGGAACCACTGAGCTAAATCCCCGGCCCTGCAAGTCTTATTTTTAAAACTACAAAATCTTACTCCTCCTGCAGCCTTCTCCTTACCCCACGCATGTCTGCTCCACCCTCTTTCCCCAGAAGCGTTTTGGTTTTCTCTTCCCATGAGTTTATCAACCAGGCCTTCCTTAACTTGTGCATCCGGGAAGCTCCTGGTCCAGATCTTTTGTTGTCGTCGTGGGTCCATGTGTGCCGCATGTAATGTTTACTTTCCTCGGGTGGCGTCTGTACCCGGATGTGACACATTTAATCCCTTCAGCTGCTTTTCCCTTCTCCCTCTCCCTCCGTCTCTTGATCCTCTTCCCCGCTGAGAAAGATCTCTCTCCCTACTTCCTATCATCTTTGAATTTGCTCTTAATTTATACTTTGTGTTTCTCATGTAGGAGAAACCACGCGATACTTAGCCTGTGTCTGATTTATTTCTCTTTAACACCATGGTCTCAAGGGGCACCGTTTTCCTACGACTGACTCAAGTTTGTCCTCCTTTACGGCACAGTAGTACTCCATTGTGTGGAAATACCACGCTCTCTACCCGTCCCTCTGTTGAAGGGCGTAGAGGCTGCTTCCAAGAGTTAGCTGTTACGGATCATACTGCTCTATGAGTTTAGATCTTGATAACAGTCCTGCTGAGAATGTGTGCACACGCGTGGGTGAAGGATGACCGTGTGCCACACTTCACTGCGGCGGGCGCTGGGGGCTGGTTCAGGACACGTAGCCACAGACCCCAGCGCCAGGTGCCACCAGCCTGCAGATGCCGGGGTAGGGCTCTGTGGATCCCTGCGGGACCGGTTTCTCCCCTTGTGTTGGGTGCTGAGAGGGTTCCTTCAGTGGCTGTGGCTTGGACTGCACGCCGAGTGCTCGTGTGGGGC